GTGAGCACATTAATGTTCCTAGGGATATATTGATAGTAATTTTACAGAAGAGAGACATAACTTCTTATCTGTCTTGTTAATCACAAATATTGTCCAATTATTCAACCATGTAGACAAAAGAAAAAAATGCATCTACATTTGTTAAATGCTTCTTACCCTAAATATTTACTCTATTGGTTCCAAAAATATGGATAAAAAGAAAATTCTGTTCCTAAATCAGCGCAAAACATCCAGGACATCAGCGCCCGATCAACTAAATAACACTACTTTTGTACTGTTCGGGTGGTTGGTACAAAAAATAAAAATAATAAAAGGATAAAAATAAAAAAAGGGTAAAAATAAAGAAAAATAAAAGAATTAGTAGAATAAAATAAATAAATAATGATAATAATAGAAACTTATAGATAATAAGATAGAATAGATAAATAAATAAACTAAAAAAATAGCATAAAATCAATAAATTAATTGAAATTAATAAATCAATGAACTTTTAAAATTAAAAAAATTAAATAAAATAAATCTGCATAGGATCATTTGTTATAAACTTGTAATTTTTTCATTATCTAGAAACTTCATAACTTTGGTAATGATTTCTTCTTAGTTTCACAGGGATGCTGATATATTCTGGGGTATTCCGAGATCTTTTAATCTTGTGGTGTAAAAAGGGCAGGAAGGGTTTTGAAGGAAACATAAGGATTGAAAAGATATTAGATTCTCTTTATTTCCTTTGAAGTATGTATGTACAGATACAATATTGGTACAAGGTTGACTAATAATATACTTTCATGTATAGAAAACTAAAAACGTTGTTCATCTTTACATTTTACTTGCAATCCTGTTACATATATTCTTTATTACTCTCACTTAAATTACCATATCCTATAATGACAACTTTATTGTTCTCAAATAATATTTAAAAGCTTTTTCTTCTCACACTTAATATGAGTATGGAAAGAAATATTTTTCTAAGGCCATGGAATGAGTAAACTTTTGACTTTCCTGTTTTTCAAGATGACTGCCAGAGCAGTGGAAGGCGATAGACTTTTTATATTCTGCGTTCCACTTTTACTTAATTAACTGAAGGTCTGTTTGCCAACCAATAACTCATGTTCATCTTGAAATGAATGGTTTTTTTTATCTCCCTGCCTCAAGTTTACACAATACTTTCTGTGTATTTTCTCTCTTGATTGTACCTCCCAAAAATTCCCTATTATTACATCTATCATCAACAAGGTTTCGCCCTTCTCATTCTATTTCTTACCACAGTTAATAATATATTTTCCAGTATATAAATAATCTGGTGAGCGCAACACAGAACTTTCACTTACCGCTCAACTTTGAATAGAAATTATTATTTTCTGGCCATGTTGGGCTGTTATACAATTTTTGACTTACATTTTTAATTAAGCTAAAGCTAAAAGATTACATCTAACAAATCATAAATACCATTAAAATAACAAAAGTCCAATTTATTATATGATTATGGATTGTACGATCCTTTGATTATGGATTGTATGACTATTAGTTATTAAACTATTATTTTCCATTGCAAAGTTAACTAAAATGGATTTAAGAGATTTGCATTGTCAGTCACAGACAGGTCAAAAGCTGTCACACTAATTGGAAGTGGAAATATCACAAAGGGAAAATTCATCAAATTATTCACTAATTTAATTTTCTTAAAGGTTAAATGGTGATTTTTCAGAATAAACGGACGATAGATACCTAATTATTTAAAAATAATATCAGATTTAGAGTTATTAAACTACAGTAAATATATTTAAGGTTATAAACTTATCCATGAAATATTTTTATATTTCACTTATTCTTTCACACAAGTACAATGAAATAGTATTTTAAACAGTGTCATTGCCTTAAATCGGTGGATTTTAAATATTTTTTCAAACTTGAAAAAAAAAATGTTAAAAGTTTACATTTAGTAAGAAAATGTCATTTAATCTCCTCGAAAACACGTGATTTACATTAAATAATGTTAGTTTTTAGAAATTATTATCTATATTTTTTTCGCTGCTCTACGTTACCTTGTACAATTGTCTGTATATTTTTTTTAATTATCCGCTTTCCAATGATATATTATATGTATACCTTCTGACTATTATTTCCGGGTATTCATTTTCGGCCTGGATATGTGTTTTCTTTTTTTCTCTCATTATATTTAGCATTTCTTCATAACTCCTAACATTGAGAAATAGTTATTGTTTATAATAAATCAAATTAAAGGTACTTTAGAGGAAGACATGGTAATGTTGGGATTTCACAAAGGGAAAATTCATCAAATTATTCACTAATTTAATTTTCTAAAATGCTACATGACAATTTTTTGGAATAAACGGACGTTGACTAATTATTTAAATATAATTTCAGATCTAGAATTATTAAACTTCAGTAAATGTATTTAAGGTTATAAACCTATGCTTCATACATCTTATCTTTGTTATCTTCTACAACTTTCTATATTACATACTGTTTTTTCTCTGCTTTCCAACGATACATTATACGTATTACTTCTGACTAGTATTTTGAGGAGATTCATTTTCAACCTGGATAAACATTTTTATTTTTGTCTCCTTTATTTAATTATCAAATTCTTTCAAAAGTTATATTTAATACTTTTTTGTAATTTTTAATAATGTGAGATAATTAATTATTTAAAATAAACCATATTAAATGTACTTTAGAGGAAGCCGTATATGAACACTGGGCATTCAAGCCCTGTAAAATGACATCAATGGGGATAAGATCTGATTGATATTAAGGACCACTTAATTACACCGAGTTTAATCAATATCGTTAGAGCCGTTTTTGAGAAAATTGTAAAAATGTGTTTCATCGTTGATATAAAGTGGCACTTCCGGTTAGCCGATTTTAAGGAAAAAGTTGTTGTCTCATCTAAGGTATATACCTATCTTAAATACGTAATATCAGTTTCGTACGACTTTTCGTTTTTGAGCTAGACTGCTAACATAGACACACACAGACATACAGACAAACAGACTCACAGACACACAGACCATTTTTCGGGACTTGGTTATTTGGAATCAGGGTACCTCAAAACGAGTATATCCGTTGAAAACTAAGATTCGAAAATTTTCACGATAGCAATACTTTCCCTTAACTAAACTCTGTATTACATATATAGGTAAGTGAAAGTAAAAAGGTGAATTTCCACAAGGCTCCAACCTTCTCTATTTACAACTTTACAATCTCTCTTTTGTTATGTTTCTTTAATCAGCTTTTCCTTAATATTAATATCTATGATCACAGAAATAACTTGGTAAGTCAAAACCAAATGGTCCTCATGAATTATAAGTATTTGAAATTTTTCTTCAAGCCTTCTGTGGAAGGTATTGGAAATCACAGCTCTAAATCTTCTCGAGGTACAGCAGAGAAATGTGTTTTACCATAATTTTCACTGCATGGAAAAGACTATGAAGATTATTACAATACATATTACTTATGAGGGTGTACTTTATACCAACTTAGTCCCCAACTTATCATTATATCTACATTATTTACTGTTTCCTAAATATTTTTAAATTTCCTAAATATTGGTGTATATATAAATTAAAATAGTGTCTTCACCATCAACACATTCAGTTGTGGGAACATAGTTGTGCATTGAAAGAAAATTAATGAAATCCTTTCCAGAATTAAATAATTGATAATTATAAATTAGAATATAATCTAAATTCTTTCAAGAATTGAAATAAAACAGTTTTGATTAAAATAAAATAAAACAGTTTTTGATTTATTCATCTGATAGTTAATGTTTTGGTCCATAGTAGTATATAAAGCAAATATAAAATCATAAGAACTTAAAAAATGAAAATGTAGTATTAAATGGTTTGTTATATTATTGATCCCAAACAAACAAAAAAAAATTATAGTTTATAAACATTCAAGTACTCATTTCTAGTAAAAAAATGTATCGTTCTCAAAATTAGATATAAATCAAGTAACGTATTGAAATATAAATTTATAATAAAGAAAACAAATATAATGTTTAATTTTTTATGGTAAATTTGTTTATTTCAAAAATCACAATATTTTACTATAGATATTTATAATTAATTTGAGATACATTGTTATATCATACAACATTTTACATACAAAAATATAGTTTATTTATTGGTGAAGTTAAAAAAATAGGAAAACTCAACACTAAGAATAATTTTGATCATTTTAATAATTGAATAATTAATTTCCAAATAAAAATCAATATGTGATATTACTTTGCAGGATCCAATTCTGTAGGATAACGTTCTTCACTTCAGACAAATCTATTGTATTACAATAAAATGAGAAATATATAAAAATAATAGATAGCCCATAAATCATATAATATAATTTATATACATATTAATAAAATTATGACTTATTCACAAATACAAAATGTACCAAGTAAAAATTTTTTAGGTATTATCGTTTAAGGGAGTTTTATTTAGAAATAATATGAGAATCCAATCGAGTATAGCCAACATATAAATATAAGAATGCATACAAATTTAAAAATTATAAAATAGATTTCAGGAATGTTTGTTGGATATAATTTGAAAAAAAAAAAAAAAACCAAACCAAGTCTACTAACTGAGTATTAAGCTTCAATAGCAATCAGAAATTGGAGTTATTATTTTTTGCATTATAAGGAGTTTTTCATTTATTATTAAACAAATTTTTCTAATAAATTTGTAGAACTAAAATAATAGTAAGAAATAAAATATCTTTAAAATAAATTCATTTTCGAAAATTAAATTTAAAGACAAACATCTTCATATAATTTCCAGTTCCTAAATGTAAAAAAAAAAAAAAAAAAAAAAAAAAAAAAAAAAAAAAAAAAAAAACGGAAAAACAGCTACAGCCACAAGTAAGTTGCTACAAAAACAGCTGGATGATCAAATTACAACAGGTCTTCCACAGGATCCAAAAGAAAATTAAAAATTAAAATTAAAAAATTGTAGATTTTAGAACGTTTATTGAACCTGAAATTACATATGCATTTTAGCTTACAACACACGAATAGTATTTATTTGGATTCTTCATTATACAATAAAATAATAATGGAAAATAATAAAATAATTTATATAACATTTCACATCAATCTGAAACTAAATGATACATTTTATTTATCTTAAAATAGATTTAATACATATAGTCTAAGCTATTTCAGATACTTAAACACAATAATGACAACTGCTACCATTTATTACTGCTTTTGGGTATTTAATCATTATTTTGTTGAATTCAAGAGCATTAAGAAAGAGTAGCTAGAATTCATCACCTAAGAAAAATAAAAAAACAAAATTAAAGAGAATAAGAAATAAACTAAATTAATACAAAATCAAGATTAGAATTTTAATTTTTTGTGTCTAGATATAGTAACTAATGCAATACTGAAATAATAGAAAAATCATACACCATATGGTCAGAGATTTTCTGCGACAAGATCTCTTCCATTCCAATGTATTTTAAATGTCTAAGATTATGATTTAACAATGGGCTGTTGTGTGATAACATTTTGTACATGCAGTCTCCCCTATTCTTTCGTTGTACAAAGCCTATCCAATAGTATGGTAGATAAGTAAAATATTGATGAATATACTTCTCCCTACTCAAAAATCTAACCTTTGCAAAAATTTGAGTTCCTAGACTTTTAACTTCATATTAAAATTTATTTCTATCTAATTAAACTAATAGATATTAATTAATTAAATAAAATCAATCTTCTGGACTTTAAAATTATTATTTAATTAAAAATGCTTTATTAAATTAGTATATTGGTACTGTCACTGTTGGGGAAATTGGTCTGGTAATTGGCCTATGTGGTCCTTTTTGCCAACCCCTGATGGCTGTCTTGAAGTTGCCACCGCGTACTTACCAGAGTGGGAATGTGAAGATCCATTTCTCAGGGCTGCCGAGAAATTAAAAGTAACCAACCTAGGTGGTAATCGAACCCACAAAGTTCGGAACTGGACACTCTGGGACCCACGCCCCAATGTGTTCAGCCATCCCGTCTAACTACATGAATTAGTTAATAATTTATATATATATACCAATATACTTAATAATATATTAAGTAACATTGTTATAGAACACTCTTAAGGCTCATTTACACGTTGCCAGTCGCTGGCGCCAGTCACTGGTGCCAGTCGCTGGCATTCCAGTCGACTGGCGCATTACAGTTAAAGCTCATTTACACGGTGCCAGTCGCATTCCAGTTGACTGGCGCCTAAAGTTTACACATTCCCGTTAATGTAGAACGATTCGAGTGTTATGCCTTTTATGACTTTTTAACCTGGCATTCCAACACTCAGTCTCCTTCGTCATGACAGAGTGGATCGTACGGATGGTGGAGTAGGTCTCTTTGTCCATGTCAGCCTTAAATCCACAATCCTTCGTTGCTCTTCCTTAACCGATTCTCTGCGCATTGAATACCTCTTTGCCGAAATCCTCACAACTTCATCTGCCATTCTGTTTGCTGTCATATATCGTCCTACTAGAATTGTTTTTGATGTATCATTCGAGATTTCTTTGTACAACTTAATTCCTTCCTACTCAAATGTCATCCTCTCCGGCGAATTTAAAACCAATTTACTGATAGAATCGATCGATTATTCTTACCTAACAAGTGCCCTCCATTATCTCAGCCTTTAGCCATTATCTTATAGTATACTACAACTCTACCATATATACCCAGTTCTCGGAGTCCTGGCTCGATCTGTTTATCCTAGATTTCTTAGACAAACTCCTTCCTACATTTCAGCACTCGATCCCGTTTCTATCTTACCACGGTCTTATCCAGATTTCTTACAATATCCCTATCCCATCCTTTTCTCCTCGAACGATATCCTTCCGAAACCTAAATCCACTCACTCACGAAACATTTTCAAACGATCTTGACGATATTCAATGGGATCGTATTTACTTCTCAAAATCCATCGACACCATGGTAGAAACCTTAACCACTCATCTTCACCCCATCCTCGACTGACATGCTCCTATTATCACAAACAAAATCCTTCCGCTCCTTGGTTGACTTCTGCTTTGAGAGAGTGTGTGATAGAAAGAGATGCTGCAAACCGACGGTTTAAACGAACTCGAGTTCCTGAAGATTTTCTGTTCTTCGAACAGCTTCGAAACAGTACTCAATCAGCAGTACGCCGTACCAAATCCAGTTAATACTATTATTCCTTATTGAACTCCCCTAATACCAATGCCACTTGGGCTATTCTTAGAAAACTGACCATTGGTAATACACCTCAGTCCCAGTCCATTTCCGTTTCTGCTGATAACCTCTACGCTCATTTTGTCTCCTGCCATTTAGCAACCACATCACGTCCAGTCCGGCTCCTATGTTTTCCTCTTTTAATACTGATCACTACTTTTTCCCCCACATTATCCCTAATGATCTTCTTAACTCCATTCAGAAGTCCCATACAAACGATTATGGTCCTGATTTTTGTTGTAAATCCTAAAACCCTCCATCAGAATCTCCACCCTTGTCCAGAGGTATTTCCCAATACTCTCCTGAACAACTCCCCTATCTTATTCCATACTACCGTTGAAAAACTAGGTGTTACTTTTGATTAAACCCTCTCCTGGAAACCACACATCTCCCATATTTCTCTTCGCAATCTCCTCCCTAAAACAGTTCATCTCCTTTCTTCCATATAAGTCCGTCAACTCCTAGTTACCTCCCTTGTTTTCCCCCACTTCGACTATGGCTGTATGGTGTACGGTGGACTCTCGGGAGATTGCGAAGCCAAACTTAAACGCCTAATGCCTTTCCAATTACGTTTTATTTTCGGGCTCTCAAGAGATGCGCCAGTATTACACCGTGTTGAAGTGGCTCTATCCATCCTATCACCGTAGGTAATTCCTACCTACCTTTCTGTACCAAATCATTAGAACTCATCGAGCCTCCTATTTTTCACAGCTTACAATTTAAATACTTCAACCAATCCCGTCCCACTAGATCTGATACTCCGGCCTCTATCCTCCCCCTCACCAAACTGCTGTGTTTGACAAATGCTTTGCAATTCAAGCCGTCTCCCTCGGGGATTCCATCCCTGCTGATATTAGACACACACAATCAGTTTCCTCTTTCAAACCTCTCCTCTTTAAAGACCTAGTTTTTTCTATTATATTCTAGTTTTTTTCTATTATTCTGTTATATTTTGTAATCCATCTGATTACGAAATATAACAGTCACAGAATAATAAAGTATAATTTCCATTTTATCTCACTCATATATAAGAACATTCAGTGCCCTTGAAAAGTACTAATTTAATGGCTAAACATTTGTCTGTTTATGTTTTGTTGGATATTGAATTTGAATTGAAGCCATTAGGTCGAAGATGGATGCATTAAAAGCAAAATAATAAAATATTAATTTTTACTTTATCTTAAATAATACAATGTGAAATGTTGTATATAATATAAAATATTGTATTTATTCAAATGTTAACAATATTTTGAAACGGTTCTGTTAAAATTCTAATTGACTTTAAAGTCGATCTAATCAACGACCAAATGGTAATCTGAAACGAAGGACTGTATTTAAAATATTAATAATTTATCGAAGTAATTTAAAAATTTTGTGTAAAATAAATAAATTACATTTATGAAATAATAAATGAATTACATTTGTTACAATGGAAAATGTCATGTAGCCGAAAGACAAGGTAGGGAGGAATAAATAAATAATCGACTATCATAAGTTATTACTCTCCATTTTAAGCTATACATTTAAGCGTTCTTGGTTATTCACCATCATCTTCTACGATTTATTTACTTAATATAATATTCATACAGATAGACACTGTCATATTAAAGATGCTTTTTATCTTTTCTGGTTTCGATTTGGCATATAAGTGCCGTACAAAATAAGAACAAATCTTTATCGTTTAAAAGTTATGAATAAATACAGACAGATTAGTTATAAGCGATTTAGAACTAAAATAAAACACCTTATTGCAGTCTAATCTATTACCGATATCCACAATTTGCTAAGCTTATATTACGAATGTTGGCGTTCTCACAGGATATATTATTTTAAAATATGGTAATATTTGCTTCAGCTGATTAACCATTACCACCATTACCACCAGTTAGGCATAGGTTTTCATCAATCATAAAAAAAAGTATTTAAATAAGTATTTTGGACAATCTGTTTTGCTGGTTAATCATACCTTGCCGAGGGTAGGGGCTTGCCAGTGTGCCAGTCAAACAAAAATATTTGTTCTACTGGCATGTGCCAGTTGACTGGCAAACCAGTCTCTCTCTCGTGAACTATTTACTACCTGCCTCGCTATTTCTAATAAAGGGGGGTTTTGTATAGGGCTGTTTAAGAGGTACAACCAACCTATTCTAATTGGATTGGAGCTAAACGTACCAAAAAAAAAAAAGAAAAAAAAAGAAAAAAGAAATTTAATTTAATTACAAGTTTAAATGGTAAAGTATGTTGGTGGTAAGAGAAATGTTAAATTTTGTTTCTTACTTTTTATTAATTATTTTTTTTTCTAGTTCTTGTTGCAACGTCAATTAGTGTTATATCAATAAAAATGATGCCATTGATTAACTTGAAACGAAATTCCCCGCAACCTCAATATTTATAAACTCATATAAACATACTCTACTTATGTATTTAATATAACACGTTAGCTGCAGAGAATGATATCTCTTAAATGTGTTTTCCGACAATATCGGTCATCGGCGACCGACACTATTTATGAAGTTCCGAACGGCATCAGACGCCGGAGGAGGCATACATAAGTTTCGCGGTATACCGCTGTCTTTTAAAAGAAAAGGTGAACTAAATTCCCTATTTGGAGTCTCTATCTGTTGATTGTGTTCTCATTAATGGCCAGCAATCGTAGGAGTGAGTGGACTCCAACGTCCGAGGCCGTTTATCATTATTTCATTAAAAAAGTGTTATTTTTAGGAACATAAATCTTAAATATTGAAAATAAAATGAGAAATAATTTATTTATTACATATAATTATAGTTTATATGATATAATTTATACATTATTCATGTAATAGCTTTTTAAATATAAAGATAAAAATGGAATATAAAAAAAAAACGAAGTTTCCAAATAAGTACCATATTCTGGAAATGCAACAAAAGTATAGGTGTTTGGGTATTCACTATTACATTGGAATTTATTTTCCAATTTTCCTTTCACTTTAAAAGGAAAAATTAAAGTGAAGTATTAAGGTGCTAACTGCTTGTGATACTAGTTATTTGCCTCATTACTTCCTAGGATCTTTCTCAGTTCTTATTAGCATTCTCTGCTATCTCTGTTTTCCTCTCTAGCCTGAAGGCTGAATAAAAGAATGGACACAACCCGGACGTGGTAACGGTGTTTAGCGCTGAGTTGCGAGTTCATCAGCGAGAACAGATAAGAATTTTCTAATTGATATGGGTTTTTCTTTTTTCATATTAAAGATAATCCAAGAATTGACCTCTAACGTTCCAAACATTATCTCAATCACCATGCGTGAGCACTGTTCTGTCGCGTCAGGAATATGTATCGGATGTCGGGGGATGCTGCCGCGCGGAAATCATATTTAATCAGTCTCATGCGGTATCGGTCCCAGGCGTACTACACCTTCATATCGTATATAATGATTATTTACATTAGCATCTTTACATCTATCCGGCTCCCATTCAAATATTTCTAAAAACTAAAATTTTATAGGCTTTGTAAGATAGACAAAATTCGAAACAATCCCGGCCACTTGGCAGTCTAGACGAATATGGGAATCCGGGGACCTTAACCGTAGTAATAAGTATAGTTAGTGAAAGTCTATTATATATAGCATACTTAAAGGATAATTTTGAACCATAATGATAAGATGAAAGCACTAGAATCAAATGAAATCATACTACATTATTAAGTCATTAAGGTGTTTTTTCTATACCTTTAATTACAGTTTTTCTTAACAAGCAGATATCTCGTTTTAATAAAAAAAAATAAATAAATAAAATAAAAATTAAAAAAAAGAGAATCATTTGGTTTCTTTCTACTTAATATTTCAATAATAATTATAGTTATTATTATAACACAATATTACTACAGCTTGAGCCAAAATCTAATATTATATATTTTACCATCACTTAAATATTTATATAAAAATATTAAAACTTCTAAACTGGGCTGAGATGGGATGACATTTTTTAAATTCACATTCAAATAATATAAATTTGAAATATGTATATATATATATATATATATATATATATATATATATATATATATATATATATATATATATATATTTATATTTACATTATAGTCTATATTATAGTTTGTGCCACGGACTATAAGTTTGTATAAATTTTTATTAAACTAAAAAAAAAGATATTAAAATAATGATTTGTTTTGCTGGTTAGTCATATCTAGTTCCAAGTAGGCGCTTGCCAGTGCGCCAGTCAATCAAAATTTTCTTGCCAGTGCCTCGCTGGCCTCTCCAGTGACTGGCATGAACCGTTTACACGTTGCCAGTCGCTGGCATTGAGTGACTGGCGACCTCGACTGGCAAGCCAACTGGCACCGTGTAAATGAGCCTTTACAGTAAAATATTAGTTGTGATCGACAAAACATAGTTTATATATATATATATATATATATATATATATATATATATATATATATATATATATATATATATATATATATATATATATATATATATAAATATATATATATATACATATATATATATATATTTATATATATATGTATATATATATACATAATTGATAGATCTATTTATAATTATAATGAATAAAACATGAAATTACCTTAACTTACATAGTTTTTGTCGATCAGAACTAATATTTTATTGCAAGAGTGTTTTATAACAATGTTACTTGATATATTTTTATTTATAATCATTAGATTATAACTCATTAATCATTAGACTCATATGGATACAAGATTGATTTAAACAGAGTTTGACATGTCAGTTTGCTTTTCTATCTTTTTTTTTAATTATACCTCTCTTTATCGGCTTCCACCATCAGAGACCTTGGAGCCCAGTACCATTCCAATTTGGACAGCATGTTATCTCTAATGTCTAATAAGTGTGAGCATACACTTAAATGCACTGCTTCCATATGTGCTCCTGAATTACATAGATTGCAATGTGAAGAGTCTGCCACTTCTATTTTATGCAGATGTTTGCAAAGATATATATTGATACCGTATATATAGGTATATATAGATGGCCTGTATATCTGGTATATAAGGTATATCTGGATTTCTGCCACAGCTTCCTTTCTCAGCAGGTTTATGGGTTAAATTTAGAAAATCGCTTAATGAAGCAGATCAACTTCATTAAGCAATTTTCTAAATTTCTTTTCCACAATAATGCTCATTATGGATTCCTGTAGTAGAGCCTCATTTGTCTAATTTATTAATTTTTGCTTTTCTATCATAGAGCTTAATTATATTAAACTACACTGATCCAATCACCTGTACTATCATTTCTAAAGTAACTACTTCTTAGAATGCTGTATATGTGTGTGTGTGTGTGTGTGTGTGTGTGTGTGTGTGTGTGTGTGTGTGTGTGTATGTATGTTAATTTAAATAAGTGACTTACAAACTGAAATGATTGAAAATTTACTGGTAACAATCCTTTGTAACTTATTTGAATCGGCTTTCTCGCTTGCAATAATATAAAGTTAAAATCTTTTCTAGTTTGGGGAGTCATTTCGTTCCATGGTAAGCTACAAAGGCATTCAAATAATTTATTTCCCTGTAAAATATAAAAATATTACTTAATGAATTATAAAGGTTTTGCAATATATATTTTTTTTTATTGATACACTTCTATTGTAAGTTAGAATTAAAGGAACAGAAATTAAAATTATATTCTATACAATTATATTCTATAAGTGACACTTTATTAATGATTATGGCAACTATCTTGTTAACTGTGTTTGTTAACAAAACAGTTTTCGAGCTGAAAAGCAATATGGTAATTGAAAAAGAAAAATTCAAGTAAGACAATAAATGTGCTTATATTAAAACTAGGTAGGACAATTTCAATATTATATGATAAAATTTTGAAGAAATGTATTTGTCATATTTACCTGTGTTTGGAGCATCTCTCCATAAAGACAAAAAGTAAAGTTTAATGATGCCATGACACTAAACAATAAAATATATGTGACAGTCAAAGAAATATTACCTTTAATTTCCTGGAAAAGAAAAAACAAAACAAAAAACATGAATGCTCCTAATCTTTTTTTAGATTTTTATTTATATATGTTTAAATATTTCAGATTAAGGAGTAGTGTGAAAAATCGTTAATATTCTTAATAATGTTTTAATTACCATTACTGAGAAAAGGAATGCAGCCAACAATATTGCTCCTAGAGCTATTTGGGTTGCAACAGCCGGTCCGATAACAATTTGTGCATCTGCAATAACACTGTTGTTTCATAGAACAAAACAAAGATTGTATGGCATAGTGAATAACATTATTATATTTAAAATATTTAGCCAATTTTTAGATGCAAATTATCAGTATATTTACCTCTTAAATTAAAATTAGATAAAACAAAAAATCTTTATTTTAGAACCTATAATTGCAATGTCAATTGTGAAAAAAGGGATGTGTTGAAAGCAGTAATTTATTTGACAACGTTTTAAAGCTCAAAATCATACACAAAGTTCTATAATTTAGTTTATATTTGTAATGATTCTTTGTTATGTAACTTTTATTAAAATACCTTAATGAACTACAATATTTATTTTAATATCCTTAAGTAATTTTTAGCTTAATCAACTTTTCTAGCTCATTTTTTCCAATTCCAACAGATTTATTCATGTTTTGCTGTGTATTTCATGCAATCTTTTTTAATACCTGATAATCAAGTTACATATTTAAAATTTGTACCATGGATGTTTCTTAATTCAGAAAGAGACATTTATAAATTAGATAGATAGGTATTATAAATTAATATGAGCTTTACTAACAGGTTTTAAATATGTAACTTTGATTGGATAGTAAAATAAAATTCTATACAAGTAATAGATAAGAGGAAATATAAAGATTTGAAGACAACTTTTTTTTTTACCTTAAGATATCTTTGTGGTTTGTAATTATTTTCTTCAGAAATTTTTTATTGTTCAGCAGCTTATGTTTTCCTCCCGCTTTGATAGTTCTACAAAAAATACGGATCTCTATACAGCAATAGCTGCAAATTATAGTCTGTAATCCTAATGACCCCATCCCATAACCTACCAGCAACATGGACCAAAAGAGGCTCACCACCTGCATTGCATAATGTATGAAGTCTCGGTCGTTTTTTCGTATTTCCTCAAGTGGATATGGGAAACTAAAAATATATCCGTCATCATCAGAATTGAAAATAAGTAGACAGATATCGTATAGAAGAGGAGCTGTGTAATAGACCAACATAAACGTAATAGCGGCAACACTATAGAACCATACTGCAATCCAAACTACATTGGAATGTCCACTGCCACTGTTCCCTTCTTTTTTCGTGGAACCTTTTAATTTTTTCCACAATATCCCTAGTCTTCCCGCGGTACAAGTAGTATATGATCACTTGAAGGGCCACATAGTATCCTCCAGACACCAAGAAAAAAGATCCAGTGAACGCGGCTTTTATGCCATTCTGGAAGGCTGATATGTTCATGACGATGAAGACCGTCAAGAAATAGAGATATCTCAATTTTTGAAAAACTACTGCATAATTCCCTTTAAAATCGAACCATAATCCAGTAATTTTCAGAAGAAGAATGAGATCCGCAAGGTTTTTTTTACCTTTAATTCTCTCTAACATGGTGTCTGGAGACTAAACAGTTCACACCGTTACGAAGCTGCCCCGTGTTTTAAGTGTTCAATTAAATATAATTAATCGATCTTTTTTTTTTCTTATTCTTTGAACTTAAATTATATTTGAGAGAGCAATTACGAAATCGCTGCAAACTTTCAGGAAAGATTAAATCTATATTTAATGAAGTCCTTGAAAAGTTACCAGATTAATTCCTTGAATCGATTTCAGTTGGCGTGGCTTTGTAGGACTGCTAACGTTTAAAGTTCTATCTGTCGTACTTCTTATACTTTTGTTTAATTTTATTAATGGCTCTCTTCTTCATATCTCGTTAACTTTTGGCCAACTCAACAATTTGTCTCCATTTTTTTCTATAAGGACATTGTTACAACACTTTTTATTAATAAGTGCGCGTAGATGAACATAAAGTAATTTATATTGAGTAAAGATATATAGAGCACAATCTAAGGATAACCCAGAGTTTTCTTTAAGAATCAGGGAATATTTAAGAAGTGCATTTGTGTTGACTGTGCTATGTTGTAAAAGTTGTACTTTAGGAAAGTGTGAAATATAATGCCGAGTTTTATATAATAAGATATTGAGTTGAAAAATAACATTAATATTTGAGTTGAAAAAACTCCAATCACACTTTAAGTCATAAAATTGATCTCTGTAAAATGCACATTAAAAGGACTATAAAATAAAGCCGCATACTCTAAATCGCTAAATTTCGAGTATGATGGCGTAATTTATTTTAAAATTAATTATTTTTAATTATCTTGTTTATTATTTTTGAAGATAGAGATACCAACATTTTTTTACATTATCTTATTATTATTTTTAATTATACGTATATATACTTTTCTAAGGTAAAGGCAAATAAACTTCCATTTTTCTTTAGTCTTTTTTAATCACATCTATTACATCTGACGTTTCGGGACAATTTTCCCGATTTTTTTTTTCGCATTTGCTGTTGGTATTTCATCTCACACATATCAAAGAATCACAAATCAAATAAAAAAAAATTTGAAAGAACATTTGAAAAAAAAATTAAAGTAACGTATTTATACTTATTATCGACAATGTTGTTAGGATTTCCGTAATGAAACTTAGTTACAATCGGTACGGAAAAAATCCGAAGCTCAGTACATTTCTTAGATAATTTAATTTTTCTTCTTTAAGCAAGAATGTAAATACATTCATACTTATCTTAAATTTTTCAAATATCAATTAAATTATTAATATTTAAAAAAGTTAGTATATAAGTTAAAACAGTGCATGAAAAAGAAACAGCTAAATAAATAAAGATTATGAATTTCTCACAGCTCTGCTGCTAAACCTCGTAAGATCAAGTTGATTGGAAAGTACGTTTTGAGATTCAATTCAACATCGTGAATATTCAGAAATACAAACCAATAAAGTTATTTAATTCACTTTATCTTTGTCTTGAGCTAGCAATAAAAACGGAAAATTCAATTCGTAAAAATGAAAAATATAAATGTCTACCGTCCTCATAATATCTTTAGTGTTTCGAATAATTAGTTTTAGCACTTACAGGCATTATACCTGACAATAGGAAGACTGGTTCCGAAAATTGTTTTTAAGTTGAGGCGAAAAAAACTATAATATTCTGTATTTAATTTCTATTATATTCCTTTTCAATGTAAATAAATCACTAATAAATAAAAACTATTTCAAAATGATCTTTATATTTAATATATTACAGAATATCAAAAACTTACATATTTTATATTAAAATTAGTAGCGTTATTACACTATTTCCCCGAATCACGTGGGAATCTTTTATGTTTCCGTTTAGAGGGAATGGGTTTACAAAAAATAACTGCTCATATCATCATTAGAAAAATTTTTCCTAGTTCAAAATAAAAAATTATTTAAATTCCTCTAGGTGCGACAAAGGGCTGTTGCTCTGCACTTTTAAAAAATGAATATAATAAAAAAAAAATAAATACAACTGTTTTATCATAGAATTTTAACGTACATACTTTAATATGAAATAAGCATAAACATTCACTTTCCTTAAAGTTCTTTACAAATAATAAGCCCACTCCAAAAAGTCCGGGTGTTGTTGGATCACAATCCGAAGAAAGGTGCTTGCAATGAACCACATTATCTGTCAAATATATATATATAAAATCTTCTGCAGATTATATTATTATATATTTAAACATATCTCAAATAATTTTAATTATTTACTCTAAAATTTAATTAGTATAATGTACTTGTATTTAGTTATTTATTCTTACTTGGAATAATTAGAATTTATCAGCGGGTAACTGATTGTTTTTAAATGTTAAATTTATTTTTTTCAATTTAATATATGTGTACTATCGCTCCTTTCATTTTGTAAATTTTACATGCAATAAAAATACCAAAATGTGGTTTATCATTTTTTGTAGTTTAATTGCGTGTATTATTTGGAAGTGAAAGTCAAGTGAATATATTTGTATACTTATATATTGTAATTGTTTAAACAAAACTCAAATAAAAGAAGATCAGAAAAAAAAGAGGCAAGATTATAATTAATAAGTAGTAGATTTAGCCATAAAGTTTTTTACCCAAAATTTCATATGCCCTTTGATGCACCTGTCATATTTTTATGCATCAGGATTAGTATCTTAGCTTTGCTATGCTATTATTGTTATCTGTGTGATATGATTTTTGTTTATTAACTCTGAAACGCTTCTTACCTTGAATGGTTTCCAAAATAAATATATTTATTTATTTTTCATTGGGGAGCAGCTTATAATTAATTTTCTTAGATGGCTGAAAGGTTTCCAAAGAAAACTGCTACGGATTAATTGATGGTTATTTTGCCAAAATTGAAGAAAACTCCGGATTTAGACTTGAAAAGGATATGGTAAAATTTAAAGTTTATTTCTAAACTTCAACAATTTATTTTTATAAGCTACATGTTTGTAAACTTATTCTTGAATACATGCATATTTTCTTATGTATATGATCTTCAAAAAATAACTTAATGATCACCTTTATTTAATACTACTATATTTTTAATTTTTTTAGGTTAGGTTTTTTTTTTCTTTTATCGTTCGTATATATTCAAAAATCTCCTGAACTGGTCATTATTTTTTCAGTATGTATGCCTAATTAAATATACGCATGCATAGAAATCGGATGCTCTACGATATGACCAATCAGGAAACCATAAGTCTTACGCCAATGTATGTTCTCTAATTTTACAAAACTTGTGAGTTTTTCTTTCAGAATTAAAGAAATAATTTAGTTATTTATTTATGTTATAATTTAACTTTATAGCATCTTATTCTATTGGGTAAATTCTTCACTTCAGATTGAATTGTAATAATATGTATTGATCTTACATATTGATAAATTAGAAACAAATTTTAGGCTGTAAATCATTTATTGATTGAAATTATGACTAATTAGCAGAATCAAAAATAAACAAAGCAAATTTATACTGGTCTAATCAAGATAAAATTCAGTGGATTAACTAACTTGAAAATTAATTAAATATATTCGTATACCAATCTAAATATATTTAAACTTATAAAAATAATTTACTGTTACTTAGGATATTTTAAAAGAAAGATTTCTCATTGAACAGGCTCCTTTAATTATAATTAAATAAATTAATTATTTAAATAAATAATTTTGTGCTCATATTTAATGACATTTATTGTTGAAAAGAAGATGGTTGGCGATGACAGTCATTAATTAGAAGTACAAAGTAAAAACAAAATTACATTAATTTTTTTTGGCCCGATGTTTCGGCCTAAGTTTTCATCAGAACTAAGCAAAGATAGGGTAAAAAATAAATATTGAGAAAATACTAGACAGTAATAATAATATTGTGTAAGTAAAAAAGTATAGTAGAATTATATATAGATAGTTTACTATACTATTTTACCAATATATTATTATTATTATTATTGTCTACTACTTTCTCGATATTTTTTTTTAGCTTGTGTTTTTTAGCCCTGATGAACGCCTGAAACTTCGGCCGAAACATTGGCATAAAGAAATAAATATAATTTTATTTTTACTTAGTACTTACAAGAAATGCAATCCCTAACCATCTTCTCTTCGACAATGTTTTCCAACAGTCAATAATTATCCATCATCATTATTGAAATTGAATTTTAATTGGTATGAAGTTCTTCTGTTTGATCTGGTTACAGTATTAAGGTTTCATTATTGTATGAAAATACAACATACCCATAATATTACAGTGTAAATAATAATAATTATAATATTAAGTTAAACGCCGAACGAAATTTGATATAATTTTCGACATTTTAATTAGGAGGGTTTGTAGATGTACACAACATACCTCAAAGTCCGTGGAAAACTTTAAAGAAACTT